AAAGGACCAGTCAAGCAAATCAGAGGCAATGCCTACACCTGCCTTTTGATTATTTACGGAAGCATCTGTGGCTATTATATTTTTAGTTTTTGCATGCTCCAAGTAATCTAATAATATGTTATTTAAAAATTTGAGGGATTGTAATTTGGCGTTTTGCGGGAATATATCATCATACTCAATAATAACATGACAATTCGAGTCATTAGTCTCAATTACATTTCTAATGTTCACATTTATACTTTGTAGATTTTTTTGTACAAACATTATCTGAGGTGTGTGAAACCGTGGCCAATGAGCAAGAAAGAAGGCGTCTGGGTTTGCGATAAAAGCATATTGAGATCTTCTTGCCGGTAAGCTATAAAATTTTAAAAATGCTTGTACGGTCAAAATTCGAAATCGACAAAGTAGTGTAGGCAGGCGCGCTTCCTGGTACAGTACGTTGATAGCCACAAATCTAGGGAGTCCCAGACACATTCGCAGTGCTTCTCGCTCCAAGACAACTAGAGGTTTCGTTTTATAAGCAGGGCCACCCGAGAATAATATGCAGCCGAATTCCATGATGGGGCGCATGTACATCTTGTACAACGTTATCAAGGTGTGCCTCCGTAACCCATATTTCCGGTTACTTAGCTTGTGTAGTAAGCCTGAAGCCCGCTGTGCTTTGGTAGTTATATACTCTATGTGTGGACTCCAGACAAGTTTGTCATTATAAATGATTCCCAAATATTTTATAGAGTCTACTTGCTGGATGGGTTCCTGTTTATATAGAATTGAAATTGAAATTGGTTCTGCAAGCGGAAACGCCATGAGCGCGCTTTTGTTGACATTTAACGATAACGAAATCGACTGCAACCAAATTTCTAACATGTTAATATATCTTTGTAATTTAAGTTGTAATGAGTAAATACCACAGTCAGCAGCAAAGAGTGCGATGTCATCAGCATAAATGTAGACAGTAACTTCTTGATCTGTTGGAATTGTGCTCATTAAAGCATTAAATAATATTGGAGATAAGACTGCTCCTTGGGGAACTCCGCGCGTTTGTTTAAATCTAGATGAGGAACATCCATCCTTGACGCAGTAGAATTCTCTTGATTTTAAGAATTCTGCCACCCACTCAATAAATTATTGTGGGAAGTTCAATCTCTCTAGCGTATTTAACAATATGAAGTGCTCCACACTGTCATACGCCTTGGCTATGTCAAGCGTTACTAAAGCAGCGTATTGCCTTCTTTTACACGCGAGCTGTATTCGGCTCTCTAAATCAGCATGGGCACACCAAATTGAGAAATCACTACGAAAGCCGGTTTGGCTCGGTTTTATTACTAAATTGTCTGCCATCCAGATACTTACTCGGCTATGTAGGACCCTCTCTACTAGTTTGACCATGTTAGATGTTAGAGAGATTGGTCTGATATTATCGACTGTTAATCCTCCACCCGGATTTTTTAGTATAGGAATCACCATTGCTATCCTCCAATCCTGCGGCACCCATGAGTTTTTTAAGGAGTAGTTAATAACATTGGCGACGTCTCGAGGCGATAAATTGAACAGAATTTTAATCATGGGTACTGTGATTCCATCTGGGCCAGGAGATGCACAGGGTAAATGTTTAATCACGTTGGATACTTCAGTCTGTGTCACTTCTTCAAAGTCAGACTTTGTCGTAGACTTGTGCCAGTTGTTTGGCACTACTGAAGTGAATCTGCTTTCCAGACCTTTACCGATTGCCTCTAAGGTAGTGGTCATTTCTTGTGCCGACAGATTATCACAAGCTACATTAACTGGTGATGGCAAGATTTTCCGAGCTCTCATATATCGGAACAGTGCTTTCATATGTTTAGGCTTCGACAGGTATTCATAATGTCTTCTGTCATAATCTTGTTTAGCCTGAGCTACCGTTCTTTTAAAGCCCGCAGCAATTAATTTATAATCGGCCCAGTTTTGTGGGGATTGATTATGTAACGTGGTAATTTCTTTGCTTTGTCCTCGTGATTTGGCTCTTATATCCGCTTCGGGGATTAGCCGTGGAACCGGCGAGTGATACAGAAATAAAGTTCATACTTGAGACGAAGAAGGAGAAAAAATAAAGAACTTATCGGTTGACTGGGTAATATAGAAAAAAAAATCGTGGCTATTGGGGTCTTACACTGTTCACTTCTTCCTTTGCATTCTATAGCTCTGCTGCCGACTTCCGCCGCACAAAACTTCTAGAATTGAAGCCTTCGAGCATTCGTCATTCACTGCCTTTTCATTCGATTCATCGTTTCTAAACCAGAGTTCAACGTAAGAAGCGATTACCCTTGATTCACATGAAAATTTGGCTTATGTATAGGCAAGGGTAGTGGGATGTAGGAAAAAAAAAAAACGCGAAAAAATATTTTTAACACCTCAAACAGAAACTACAGGGCGTAACAACAGACATTTTCGTGTACACCTTCCACGTGTATACGGCCCCCGAGGCCGGGTTTTAGCCCGCTAAATGGGGTCGAGAAGCGCAATGCCCAAGCCACTCGCCCACCTCGGTGGCTGGTGATGTAAGGTTTTTGGGCCCTTATATACCTGTTATCCTGTCTACGCGCTACATGCCCGGCCCATGTCCACTTCCTGTTAATGTAGAAAGGTAACGACAACGACGAAGTCGTCGATGATGATGATGATGATGATGATGATGATGATGATGATGATGATGATGATGATGATGATGATGATGAATTTGATTAAAGTGGAGCACAGATCACAAATGAAGAAATTGATGGTGCCGACGCTGAAGAAGCCTCGGAGTGGGGAAACGAATGTTGTGACAGGAAAAGAGGCAGATGACGAACTTAACCTTACTGCTGCTGATGATGAGGAAGCAGAATAAAAACAAGTTTAATAAACTGAGAGGAACAAGAAAATAAGAAAAGAATAACCAAAAGAGGTGGACTCTTCCCCTTGGAGGAACATGAGGCCGGTAATAATCGCCTTGGAGGGTAAAGGCGGTTGCAATCTAGCCAGTGGTTTCATATCAGAAATGAATGATTGTTTTCCTCGCCTCGAGATGACGTGAAAAGAGGCGGTGGTTCCTCTCGCTTCCGCTTGAACGCGCTGCCAGCAGCTGCCGGAGCGCGCAGGCCACGCGCTACCGCGTTCCTTTTCATAAAAAAAAATCACAGCATATCCATGGAGTACATGTTGATGAGTGGGGCAAAGCGTCCGTCAGTCGGTCCGTGCTTTCGTCCGTGCGTCTGTCGGTGTGACCGTCCATGCCTCCGTCCGTGTGTCTGTGCGTCCATCCATCCGTCCTTTCGTGCGTTCGTTCTTGCGTCCGTCCGTGCGCCCATGCGACCATTCGTCCATCCGTGCATCCGTCCTTCCGTGCATCTGTCTGTATGTCCATCCATCCGTCCGTGCGTCTGTCCATCCATCAGTCCATCTAGTGAACACTCCAAGTATACCACCACCTCCCGTATTCTCATCATATATCGGACATTCCAAGGACTAAACGAGATGTGGCACTGCCAGAAAAAAGGAGCGGCACGCGGGCACTCTCTTACGGCCTGCGCTTCATGTGTAGTTCCCTCCTTTCACCGCCGCTAGTTCATGGCACTGCGGCCCGATTCTCGCTAAACCTTGCTAAAACCAAGGAAGTTACGCCCAGCAAATTTAACGTGGCAACCTTTTTCTGGTCAGATGGTTCTCAACATGGGTGCTTCTGTTACTAGTTTTTTTTTTTTTAGTAAGCATCAAATTCAAAGCAAATTGTATTGGAGATTAAGTCCCCGATACTCGTCTCTGTAGGTTATTCTATCAGAAACAACTATCTTTTTATTTATGACTAACGGGTACGGGTTTCCTCCTCAATTCGATAGAGCGCGCGCGTGCCGATCATCTGGTCCGCCCGTAGAGGTGGCTACTTTACTACGACTATTACTACTACTACTACTACTACTACTACTACTACTACTACTACTACTACTACTACTACTACTACTACTACTACTACTACTACTACGTATACATCGCGGACGCGTGAGCCACGGCTTAAGGAGAGAGAATTGCCCCTAAAACTGACGGTGTACATCTCGTGTTTCCACCACAAGTTTGCTCTGAAGTTATACAGTGGTTGAAGCTAGCATGAAGGTCACTTCGGTTGCTGCCACGGGGCAGCATAAACGAAAAGAGCGCGCTGCCCACACACGAAGTAAGAATTGTGACCGTGTTCACGCTCGTCCAGTGTATGCTCATTTCCTGTGTCCTTCTTTCTGTTTGAGATGTGCGTTTTAAGTGCTGTGCATTGACGGCTATTACCACACGTGCTCGTCATCTTTGCGTGCTTGAGGTGCGCACTGCAAGTTTCGAGTTGCCTGCCGTTACTCACATGACGTTACAATTTGTTGCTACAGCATTCGTTCCTTCGCCCTTGTGGCAAAACTGCACAATAACGTTTCACTTTCGTGTTTTACCGATTCCAAGACGAAGGGATCAGCCACATTTGCTATAGGTATACCCTTCAGTCGTTCACTTGTCTGCGATTCGTCCACCATCTCCCAAAAAAAGATCCTCGGTCATTTGCAGGAGGCTTTGGGGTCTCCAGAACGGTGACCAACTGTCGTATCAGTATCAGGGTTAAATTCGATATCTACGCTCAGTAGACCAGGTTGACAAGACAAATCATAGCGACCCGTCAAGCAATCGCACCACACTCTTAAGGCCAGTTCATTTAAACTTAATCCACATTGTCCTGGAACCCACTGTAACCTCAGGAGTCCTGTGGGTTCTTAAGGGGGAGAATTGCACTACCGAACACAGTGCGTCGCTTTTGAGTTCCGACATACTGTGCTATTCAGACATACTTCCCGAAACATGAGAACGCGTTCATCTGCTGTTGCATCACTTAGTCATTACGCTACACTCTCGCTCAATATATCCGGGAAACAATACCCGTTCAATCGACGATTATGGGCAATTTCGTCACAAGTCCGACTGCAAGTGAAAACCGAACGTGGTGAACTCACCGAATTTGGCAGCGGAAGGCGCTTCATCCGGCGTCGCAACATAAACACAGAAATCAGGGTGACCCTGGTACAATTCGCTGTCGTAGCAGACATGGAAGAGGCACACCGCGAAGAGCCGTCCGTGAAAGAATAATGTATAGCTTTGTCCATGGTTGCATCGCTCGGCTGCGGTGCTCACTGACAAAAAAAAAAAAAAAGACCGAGGGGCGGTGTTCGTTGGCGGTGCTACTATCAATGATAGCGAGCCGTTTCGACGCATGTCCGAAAGTAAAAAAGAAAAAGAAATAGCTTCGCCTGGTCCCACCGGCCAGCTGCTAGGCAGTAACAAAGAAATGCTGGTGGTCTTGGTGCACGTTTTGCTGTCGTTTTCTTCCGTGCAGAACACTGATCAATGCTTGCAACATACAAGTACAGTGCAGAACACTGATTAATGCGTTGTAACATACAGGTCCTGCGTCCAGAGCCTCAGTCACGCTACTTTTCAGCGCGAAACACCAATCGATGCGTTGTAACACGCAGGAGACAAGTCTAGAACAGACATATGTACGTAAAATTTGTCAACTTTGAAACAGCACGAAGCGGAACTAACAATGTGTGGTGTGTCTTCGGTTCAATTAAGCAGACGTAATTCTGGAAAACATCACCCTTATACAATGCAATGTTTAACATACAAGTCTTAGCCTCGAAGGTACTCGGCTGCTGACCCGCAGGTCGTGGGATCGAATCCCGGCTGCAGCTGCTGCGCATTTCCGATGGAGGCGAAAATGCTGTAGGCCCGTGTGCTCAGATTTGAGTGCACGTTAAAGAACCCCAGGTGGTCAAAATTTCCGGAGCCCTCCACTACGGCTCATCATAATCATATGGTGGTTTTGGGACGTTAAACCCCACATATCAATCAACCTATTATCAATCGACAAATTAGCCTTAATTTCTACTTGGCAATGCGCCGCCCGTCAGTAAACCACTGACGAAGTTCCGTTGAAACTCCGGTTGAAGGGTTTCCACCAGTGCCAGTGTATTATGTACTGCCAATATGTACAAAGTGTTTGTAGTGCATATGCAATCGGCTTATATATCCATTCAGTCATGACATATGCCGTTAACTATTTCCCGTTACCGCCAGAGGTGTATTAAGTAAGTGACTCAGAGACAGACGAATGGTGACACATTCGTGTCGACGTAAAATCTGTTTCTTTCTTTCTTTATTGAGATATGCCAAGCACATTCATTCGATGTCTGTTCATCGGGTACCGAAGGCACCAAACAACAATCTCTTGCTGTCCTGGCCTTAGACAAAATCTTCATTCTTGTCATGATAATTAATAATAATAAGCTTCCGTAAAAGTTACTTTTCTTCGAGTGTCATTTCTTGCCATCTTTTCATCAGCAGTCATTTCGACGCACCAATCAAAGCAGCTGTGTAAATTTTAATTTCATAAAGTGTGCATCTTACTTGCGAATGCTGCCAGCGGCCGAGGTTTTCACAGTCAATGTTAGCTGAACTCTATTACTCGTTTATGAAAACGCAAACAAGAAAAAAAAGAGAGAATAAAAGGAATAGACTATATTGGAATATGGAAACACACCAACAGAAACGTTGACAATCACACTCTCCTCGAGATCACGCTCGGGCGGAACATTCTGGATATGAGGTATCTACAGAACGTGGCATTACTCTGTTCATATCGAAACGGCACTTGAGATTTCTGGGGTTGGTTAATAATTTATGCACGGTAAATCGTTAAATAGCTTATTACATATGGCAGCGATACAGGGGCATTCCGCTAGATTTTGTTTTGTTTTTCAATACTACATTACATGAACCTTAAAGAAGTGTCGGCATTTAACTAACGTGACAAAGCAACTCTTTGGTGGCAAATAGAAATATCGCCTCATATAGCCCAACCTTCACGAATATTTATAGCTACAAATCGTTGCTACCGGTCTCACCGCAATGCTTGCGTAACCACAATTAATACAAAAAGTAATATACACGTGTCTGCAATAGGTGTGCCACTTAGTGTTGGTGGAAACTGGTTTGCTAAGTAACCCACAAAGAACGAACGTAGTATAACAACGCTTAACATTTTCTTTCACAGTTGGATCACTATGCTTTGCGGCCGAGTGACGCAGCTTGCTCACAGAGCATTCACATTTCCAAGCCTCCCTCTCCACTCTTAAATTGGGCTACAGCTAAAAGCCGAACCACGCGCAATCTTCACTTGAAGGTGTACTGGCCCTGACTGTCTTACACACATGTGGCTCTAAACTGACTTTGCTTATCGCAGTTCTGGCGACATGAACGTTGAAAAAGTGCCGCCATATCCACGAAGTGAATGATGATGAGTGGGCGAAGCTCCGGAGGTAAACCTGGTAAACCATGAATCCTCTGTACATTTTGCCCACTTGATTTTATTACATCGCTCCCCCTAGCGTACGTCGCCGCACTAAATCGAACGATGGCCTTCAACCAATTACACGCGCCATATGTGACATCATTCCTATTTTATAAGATCTCGCGTCTTTCATCAACTACAAGTACCGCTTTCTAGTTTATACCATCTTGCATCTTTTCATCATCAGCTACAAGTACCACCATCTAGTAAACACTACAAGAACTAAACGAGAGGTGGCTACATACAGGGGACGCACAGCCCACGCCCTAAGGAGCTTCGCCCCTAAAACCTATAGTGGCTGAACGTGAAGCCTCAGCGGCATAAAACTGGCACCCATTGGGTTACCTCACGACTAGTGTCCCTCGAGCTGGTATCCAATGGCTTGCGTGCCGGCTAGGGTTCCTAACTCATAGACCATCACAATGAAGCTAGACTTTCTTTACGTATATAAGGTATGGGTTTCTGTGCTGCCATATTGGGCTCTACTGCCTTGCCGTTTTATATCAGACTAAACAAACTATTTTCTCATTGCGCTCCTTGGCCAAACATGGCCCTTGCGCCAGTAAAACCAATATAGTAATAACCAAATGAACAATGCTCCGGTGTATGCATACACGCACATGATTAGGTTTGCAAGGTCGACATTTCATTGGCGGACTACAAAAATAAGAAAACACTAGTTTCACAGCCCAAGATGGTAGTACCATTGTGTCTACCGTAAAGTCGTCCTTATACTGTATTCCTTTGCGGCACTGTCAAAGTGTGCGTCAGTTTTTCGACTCGCAAGGACTGTGTCTGCAGACAAGGGACCAGTCACTTGACGTGGTACTAGCAACGATTCTGAAGATCGCGGGCCTTTAGACTTCGTAGCGAGCCAAGAGGGGGCGGTGCTGCGATTCGTGTAGTACGTCATATCGCAACAGAAAGATAAATACTTAGAGGGTAGAAAAGAAGAAAAAAAGAAAGATGGGACAACATAAGGACAACACGTAACACGGAGTCACAGCGATCTGTACACATGAAGGGAAACGGGAGAAAAAAAGGAGAGGGTAGAAATGAGATAACAACGAAGGACGCTCGTGCGCATGAGTCAGCGTCTTCACCGTGAACTCCAGCGCCAGGTCAGTCGTCAACCTGGAAAAAGACGGAGGTCATTGCTTCCATCCGTAGACAAGCTTTAAGCGCTTATACGGTTCACGAAAAACTTGATCAATTCGCTGATAAAAACCAGTGCTGACAAAATTTCAATTGCAGCAATCAGTGGAAGAGGTTGCTTTTCCTACAAGGCAGAATGTACAGCCCGCGCCACGCATCTTGACGTGAATTGAGCCGTTCGACATTAGCTTAGGCTTAGTCATGCCATATCGAAAGAGCCCGAGTTGCTTTAGGCTTTTGATAACGTATATGCTTCATAGAAGGCCTAGGCAAAGACATTTGCCGAAGCGGGACGTCTCAACACATAGGCACACAGAATAGCTGCTGTAAAACACATGAGACATATCTGTTAAGAAGAAGTGAAAGGCAGGCTTGTACATGACTCCTGATGTGAAAAGCAGGAAACATATTTGCATATTAGCGTATACAGGGGGCGTAAGGTAGAGAGCTCAGACGAAGAAAAAACTTTAAGCAGGAAACTCTCTATTGGGGAGTTATCACATATTGTGCAGAATTCTCGGGATCTGCGGATAGGCCAGTTCCACTGACGTCACTGAAGCCACTATGTTGCGCCAGCCTTTTGAGAATGATGATGATGATTAAAACTTTGTTTAAAGTGAGGTTCGTGACGTCACGTGAACGTCATCAGTAAATCGCACGCAAGTACAGACACAGGGGTCAATGGCGTTTCGGTGGCATCTTTATAACATTGAAACATACGTAAACCACAGTAGTGAATAAACTGCGTTGACATCGTCATAGCCGTCATGCTGTCGTACCAGTAGGTAAGTGTAGCTGCACCTACGACCTCACGAGCAAGCTATTAATTTAGTTCGGAAAACGATGCAAACACTGGCTTTGGAACGCAGCCGATATCCAGTGAGCCCGTTTAACCATGATTTGTTTTTAAGATGATATAGTCTTTCTTGGGGTCCTTCGACGCCAAAATTTTGGTCTGTCTGTCTGTACATTCGTCTGTTTGTCCGAGCTAACGATACTCCTAACGGCCCCAAACAGTGCCTTAAACGGCCAACCCCATCGGCAGCGCACACCAATAGTGCTCAATTATTCAGCGTTCATACTCGTGCGATTGTCAATGTCAAATCAATTATTGCGCATACCTGGGGCACCATAACAACACGTCAATATTTTGTATGAATGTCCTTATACTAGAGGAGGCACACATTAGTAAGTCCAAGGCCCATAGCGTTTATCAGGCTGCGCTGACAGTGCAACGCGATGTCCAAAAATGCAAGTGTTCCAGTGCTTTGCTAAGTCGACATGTACTGTGGTGGCACCTGCCAGTCGCTTTGCGTTCTACACCTTACCGCCTCCAAGACAGGGGCGCATCTCTCTCCGTGGGCGCGCACGGCTTTCTTCGTTTTCAAAGATAACTGCCAGATGGCGCTCGTGTCTAACGTGCCTCGATGCGCTCGTTCGCCTTCGCTGCACGGATCGAGGCTCTCTAACGCAGCGCTTCCAGAATACAATTCACCGATTTTATCGCACAGAACATCAAATAAACGTTTTGTTCACTCTCTCCACACGCAATACTAACGTCTTTAGACGACATTTGCAATGAAACATGGAAATACGGGGCCATTTTCTGTTTCCTTTTTATCGTTACGTATGTTACAAGGCATCCACCGTTTTCTTGAGCTCTCTTACGCTATGTCAGATGAGGCTATCAGTCCGAGCGCTCTTTTTTTTTTTTTTGCTTTGTCATTTTTGCATAACTTGCCCACGTATGTGCTGTTCTGCGTTACATTTTCTTTCTCTTCTTTTGCTGTTGTTGTTGTTACAAACGAACCAAAAGAAGTCGGTGCAGACCTCAACACAGAATGCTCCCCAGTACAATTACTTGGAGGAACTTTGAGAACCAAATTCAAGGATGAAGCGAGGATACCGAGAGGGGAGGAATGGACGAGGTTGAACCTAAAACACACGAAGAGAAGAGGGAGAGGCCTTTGTCTGGGCAGTGGAAATAAAGTGATAAGGTGATATAATTTATGGCAACTTCTGGCAGGAGTTTATATATCACGCGTGACTAGGGCTGTACATTCTGATTGCATCGAAAAATCGTCGCATATAGCTCTTTCATAAAAGATCATAGCTCGCTCTCGCTTAACGTCATCGAAGAGGCCTTTTATCCGTTAATTATTCGTTTCCCTTTAGGGTGCGCCTTGTCCTGTCCTGGTTCTGGAACTCACGGTAAAACATACGCTGCTTGGTTGGATTTTTTTTATAAAGACACCTTACGGTGCCATGGATTTGACATTTGACTACAACGTTCTGGAAATGATCACCTCGAAAACACGGTCGTTTCTCGGGATTATTAAACTCATGCGTGATGGTCTTCTGGCATGCGAGACCTTAGAAAACACCTAATCGGGCTCCTCCTTTCAAGGCAAGGCTCGCTACAGCAACTTCCTACAATGCTTTACAGTACTTACTTTCCACGGGTGCCCCAGCTACTTGGATCTCAACGATCTTCCGATAGAGTCATGATCCCCCATAGATTTCAGTGCAAGGCGACGTGTTCTCTACCACGCCGAAGTTATCAACGGCCTGTGTGCCGTGCGCTTTTATTCTAGACGCACGAGAAACCTTAGCCGGATGGAGGAGAGCTGGCGGCGGCGCGCTGGGCCCGATGAAAGACTTACGGGGCCGCGAGTCGGGGAGGGAAAATTCGAAAATAAAGACAGTCTCGGACTGAACGCCACTACGTGTCGGTTGTTGGTTGTACGCTTGTCGTCCTCCACGATCACAACAGGCTGAATCCTTCTCACATTACGGCCAGATCTGTTATTCCTTTTCACCCAAACCCTACTTAACGGAATAAGGAGACGTTAAGCGGAAATATCTGACTCGCAAAAACCTTTATAGCTGAATAAGTTTTGCCACTGCCCACCGCTACCCTCCGCAAAGTCGTGAAAAAAAAAAGGAAGGCAACATGTCATTGCCTCAGTTTTTGTTTTTGAAGCCTTTGAAGATATCTTTCGGACTTTTCCAACTAAGGAGGGAGTGGTGCTGCAGTGACACTACCCCCTCCCCTCCTCCTCTTCTGCCCTGTGAACGCTTATGGCTGAAACTTAAAGTCGTCCTCGCCGGAGCAAGTGACTCTACTTATACCTATGCGGCTCGCGTTGCTCAGCAGCGATGTGACACGTATATAACTGTTGCGTGGTATAGCGTGACGAATTGCGGCTGTTTAGCGTGCCTGTAGCGAGCCCTGCGGTGAAAGGAGTGCGCGCGCGTTCTCTAGGCCTCTTCCTCTTCCTCTTCTTCTTCCTCCTCCTCCTCCTCCTCTTCCTCCTCCTCAGCGGGGGGCCGCACCTGCTGGATGCCCTGCTGCATTCGTTGAGCGAACGCCTCCAGGTTGATCTTGGCCGCCTCGACGCCTCCGCCCAGGTCCTCTTCCTCGGCCTCCTCGGAGAGGGAGAAGGGGATGCCCTTGGAGCGGATCAGCTCCTCGGTGCGCTCCCACAGGCTGCGGGTCGCCTCGTCGTTCCACTCCGAGCTGCGGGCGTCGTACGCGTGCAGGTCCTTGATCACCTGCAAGCGAGAGATCGCCTTCGTGTAACAACCGTGGCGGTAAATTAATAGCGGGTACTTTTTGTTCTGTTTGACGGCGGAAGTGTTTAAGCTCGGGTAATTACAGCGTGGTTCACAAAAACCCGGCTGTGTACGCACCCATGAAAGCTGGTGTATCCCGAGCAGCTCTTAGCATAGCATGGCCATGTATAGTATACATCATCGTGGTTGGGAAAGAGAAGTGATGAGTAAGGAGGAACGAAAGAAGGTGAGAGAGTAAAGCATTGCATTACGCTGCATGCTATAATCTAGCAAGGGGACGAGCAAAGAAGGTGAGGGCAGGAGTAAAAGTGAGGGGGAGGGAAAGGAGAAGTTGAGAGGGCATACCAAAGCACAACGATGTGCAGTGTAGCGTAGCAAGGGGAGCAAAAGTCAAGTGAGTGTGAGGAGGGGTGACGTGATGGTGAGGAGCCGGGAAAAGAGGAAGGGCCATGTAGAAAGGGATGAACAAAGCAAGAAATATGAAAGAAAGAAAAAGTGTAGAAACTTGCAAACGAAATAAAGAAAGATTGACGAAAGAATGAGATAACGATGAAGTATGAAGAACTTAATCTGCGTTCGCCAGGTGGTGGCACTTGGCTTGCCAGCTCCACTGTTCGCCCTCATTTCACAGGCATAGAACTTTATTTTTTTTTTCTTTCACAGAAACAAAACCACAAGACAGAACACGTATGTTAGCGCATTTGTTGGCACGTTATAAACTCTTGCTAGCACGGACGAAGCACTACGTAACCATGGTGATGCTTAAGCGAGACACAGTGGTGCGGTGCCCCGTACCTTTCCGGAGTCCGACTCAATCTTGCGGGCCATGATGGCGTAAAGGACTGACTGGACGGCCTCTTCGGTGGTGCGGAACATGATACGAGCGAAAGTTTGCATGAAGCGTCCTTGGAATCCGGGCAGATTCTTGTACAGGCTGGTGGCGATCAAACCAGGGTCCACACAGAATGCGGCCACGTCGAACGGGCGGTACCTGCGGGAGTAGAATGTATTTGTGCGCATATATTTTATTTTATTTTTATGAAAACTGCAATCTTTCATTTGAAAAATCATGTCAGGGTGGGAAAATGTTCGAGAATAGGTGTGCACGCATTCAAGCAAACAATAACAGTAGAAATGTGATTATACAAAAAAAGGCTAAGGATAAAGAACGCTTAACTCAATAGATTGACAGAGTATCATAATACTGAGCAGCATAACGTATAATAACATAATAGTGTTATAAATGTTAAATATTAACACAATAATTGCAATGAAGCAAGTACACTAAAGTGATGTTCTAGGTTAGGCTGCTTCAAGAGCAAATGATGAGTGCGATCTGGAATGAACTGCCGACAGCGGCCAACCTTGCTGCCTACATCCCTCACTTCGTGGAGAAGGCCACCGCCTCAGTCGTTCAAGTCACGGCGGACAAGACCATACACCGCCATTTCCTCCTCCAACAAGAAACAAATGTTTACAAGAAGCGAGAGACGTTCAGCTCTCATCGCGATCCTCTCTCGAACTTGCATCGGCCTGTTTCGACCCAGAGGACTTGCTTCCGAAAAGCCGTGTCTGAGTCACGGCCTCACCGAGGACTCCGGGACAGCTTCAGCAAGCTGGCGAAAAGGGAATAAGCGTCCTTCTGGAATAAGCCGATCGACTTTGGCGCTGAGCCAGCGCTACAGATGGCGGCGGCACCCTTTATAACTTAGAAGGGTAGCGGTTTGGGCTAGTTGGTATGACGAGACGATAGTTACAGCGCGAGAACAGAACGAGGACAAAAGGACAAGAAGCAGACGAGAGTTGGACGTTTGCGCTCGTCTCCTTCTTGTCCCATTGTCGTCGTTCTGTTCTCGCGCTTTAACTATCGGCACCCTTTATGCTTCCACCAAGACCACTATAATATACAGTAGAGCTGCTCGGGGGGTGGGGGGGGGGACTCTGTTCTCGCGCTTTAACTATCGGCACCCTTTATGCTTCCACCAAGACCACTATAATATACAGTAGAGCTGCTCGGGGGGGGGGGGGGGGGACACTGCCTGCGTCCTCAAAGGAGCATGGGACACTTTTGCGTCGGGTGTAGCAAAATAAACATCTTTTATAAGTTTTACAAAGTTAGCACCACGTATGTAGACCATTTCACAGGAGGAAAAAAAAGAAACCTACATGCTGCGCTACGCGCGGGAGTACAAAGGTTGACGTCACAGGCTCGGCAGTGAATTTTCGGGGTCTCACGCCTATTTAGCGCTGAACAGAGAGGATTATAACGGTGTCCGGGAAGCCGTCTGTGAAAAAGTCCATAGACCTTCGCAACAGCCCTCATAAGATACTTGAATATTCAGTGCAAATCTGACAAAGGCAGAAGTTCAGGGTAAGATCGAAGCTTGACGGGATGAAAATGTCTGAACACTGGGTGTCGTCGAAGGCGACGTTTCGACAAGCAGACTTGTCATCTTCAGGGCTTCAGCCCAGTTGCAACAGTTGCAATCCAGTTGCAGCGCTGAAAAAGACAAGTCCGCTTGTCGAAACGTCTGCTCCTGCAACACCCCTGAGACGACCAATTCTCATGTATTCAAGATACAGTAGCCCCTTCTTACGTAATGCCGTTTCTCAGAGTATACGTTAGTTTAGCTGAGCATATGTATTTGAAGTTAGTCAGATTTGGGTGCACGTTAAAGAACCCCAGGTGGTCAAAATTTCCGGAGCCCTCCACTACGGCGTCTCTCATAATCAAATGGTGGTTTTGGGACGTTAAACCCCACAAATCAATCAGTATTTGAAGTTAGGTCGATTTTCGATAATGCGCAACACGCTCTGCGCATGCGCACCTCCTGGCCAGTTCCTTGTTGAAGAGGTACAGTCCCAGCTTGGAGCTCCGGTAGACGGTGCGGTAGTCGTACTCGTGGCGCACTCGCTTGTCCTCCATGTCCTCCAGGTCGGCCATGTGGCCGTTGCGGAAGCCGCCGCACACCACGTTGATGATGCGAGCGATGCCCCCGGGCGTCGAGCGGAGCTTGTCGATCAGCAGCGTGGTGAGGAAGAAGTGGCCCACGTAGTTGACGCCCATCATCAGGTCGATGCCGTCAGCAGTGAAGTCGCGCCCAGTCATTATCGCTGCGCACATGTCATACAAGGTCGTCAGTCCGCCGCTACACCCTCCACTTTCTCCCGGATGCGATACCGGTTTACAGGGCAGACAAAAAGCAGGGACAAAAAAAAAGAGCAGCCGCAGTTTGCACTATAGGTGCTAGGCTGAACCACAGTGGAGCTTGTGGTCTCTTGAATAGTCCTGACTTGATTCTATGTCTATTAGGCTTTATTGGCATAATTATGCCACGCAGGCTCAAGTATCTCGGGTGTGCTTGGTTAGATCACACGCCTCCTAATTAATCTTAAATATTCTTAGTCTTCATTAGCAACAGTTAGACTAAATTTGGAATAATTAGGCTCGACTCAGTCAGTAATAAATAGAATCTTCCTTGGCTTCCCGGACTTGGATCGCCTGGATTAATATGTATTTATTTGGCTTTGCTTAATTAGAGTTCATATGGTTGGATAATTTAGCCGATATCATCAATATCATGCTCAACTATGCCTAATTTCTTTTGGCTGTACTTTTATTCGATCAGATTAATTAGCTTAATTACCACAATTAGGTCGCGTAAAACCGAAGTATCTCGTTTGGGATTGATTCAATCAGACACAGCTTAATTAGTATTAATTAAAATTTGTTCACATTAGCCGTTTTTATCATTACCTTCCCTATAGTTAGGGTTATTAGAATCGACATGCTAAGAAGTAACTAGTATCCTCCGGAGCTTGGCTTCGCTAGTCTCGTTGGGAGTTCGACTTGGATCGGCCGCTTTCTGTGGCTCATACTCGTTCCGGGTGGTGATAGTTTTCTGGTGATGTGAACTGGCATAACGAAAAGCTTGGTAATCGAATCGGCCAATCATTCATCCTGCCAGAAATGCGGCAGTACAACATAACAGTGGCGAGTTCGCCCGTTGTTACCGGCGTTGTTGACGATGCAGTCGAGGCGCTGCTCCGAGGCGATGAGCTCCTTGGCGAACTCGCGGATGGACTCCAAGTTGGTCAGGTCCATGTACATGACTCGGAAGTTGAACGAGCCGGTCTTCTCGCGCAGGAAGAAGGCCGTCGAGTCGCGCCGCAGTCGCGTGCGGCACGCGATGACCACGCGGGCTCCCCGCCGCGCAAGCTCCAAGCACAGGGTGCGACCGAGGCCATTGGAACCGCCTGCGCAAAAAGGGACACATCGGGCTATTGCGAAACACGCGAGAAGACATCTTCAACACAATTACAATTCTGTCGGGGCTATAGACCTTATGAAAAAAAAAACCTATGACTAAATATTCGTGTTACTCCCATGGTGGGAGGTGGTGGAAGTGTCCCCGATGTTCCCTTCGTCGCCCACCGCTTTCGATAGACTGCTCACCAGTCCGATTGAACCCTTTCAAAATGCTGAGGAACCAATTAAGAGCAATTGTGTGCGGGCAACACTGGTGAGCCGTGCCTTCCTGCACCAATGCAAGAAGAAATCTGAACAAGTAGCTTTTGACTCCAGTGCCAACACCAAAACACAAGTGTCCTTGCTTCCGTTCCCTATGCTCACCGCAGCTGCCAGAAATGCGAGACCAGAAATAAAATTCGAATGCACGTTGAAAATTTGAAGTTTGAAAACCTGAAGTTATTAAACTTTCTTTCAGTCTGTCTGTTTTTCTTTCTTTATTCTTATTTTTTATTTTTTTATTTCTCTTAGCATTTTTTCATCTTGTTCATGCTATCTACGTGCGATCTCAGCTACTCCAGTAGATGTCGCAAGCCTTGCATAAATCGGGGCCCCACATCTACAGCTTTTATTATTGTCTCCGCCGCTGTACAAGGGGCTGCTGAAAAAACAAGACATTCTAAGAATGATTGGGTCCGGGCATGATGCCACGAGACACGGAACTTGGCAACGCCTATCACTGCGAGGTGCTTTAAAAGAAGCTGTCTAAGTCTAACAGGGCGTCTAGAAGGTTTTTCAGTCGGGGAGGCGAGAGAGGTTCTGTAGGAAGCTAAGTACTGCTTATTGGCTGCGTTGGTGCATCGTGTTCTCGTACTGCTATAGCGCGATTCATTTTTAGCAAGCGGGAAAAGGGACATGCGTGAGAGAAAAAAAAAAAGAGCCCACGAGATGAACATATTAGACTTCCAAATGATTTTGCTGGGATCTCTGCACGAAACACCGGTGTCGTGATGCGGAACATCTGGCACCTTGCCTGCCACTCTGTCATCTACACCTTTAATAGTTGCAAAATACAGTTTACGTCTAAAATTAATAACGTTCAAATTATATGCATATTGGGGAGGCGCAAACAGCGCCGCGGGGAAAAAAAACTCCATTACAGTGGCGTAAATCTAGAAAAATCACAAGTGGTTGACACATATCTTGATATGGCGACCATTCTGTTCTCATACATGTAAGTTTCACATTTGGTTATAATAAAATTAAAATAAAGCTTCGCAATCAAATCGACAAAACGAATATGGGTTCCAAACTCTTTCTATTGATTATTTTTCAAAGCCAATCGAGTGGCAGAACCCCTTTTTAATAGTCTCACATATATGAGGGTTAATGAACATCGGTGCGCGCTGTGTGTTTAGAAAATGATGTTGGCGATTTAGAGCACGAGGTACTCTACTATGGGAGAGCATAAGCCGTCCCGTGGGCCGTTAAGAGGCGGGGGGGTTAGAAAAAGGGGGTAACGATTTAGAGCTCAGGGTACTCTACTATGGGAGAGCTTAAAGCCGTCCCCAGACAAAAGGTTCACAGTAAAGAGGCTCATATGACAAAAAGCTACAGATACACGAAGCGAACGCAGATGATGGCGAAAAGCCTCGGGTCATGAGTCACCACCTTCTATTTTGTTCTGGTTAATACTCTTTTATTTTGTTTTTGCTAGCCTTTTGTTCTGTTATATGCTTTGCTTGATGGGTAGTGAAACGTTGATGTTTTTACGGCGTAGTGGCCTTTTATTTTGTTTGTTTTTGGTAACAGCCTTTTGATAACCGTTCTGTTGTTCACAGGTGTTTCGGTTTGTTCACATGTTGTTGCCGTTGCCGCTTTCCCGCTTTTATGGTGTAGGGCACATTTATTACAGCGAAAACTGTTATGAGATCACTTTTCAGGTCACGCGCAGTTGCATGTTGTCCTCTGCCGCCGCCGCCACCGGTGTCCGTAACCACATCGCGCGAAATTAGAAAAAAAAAAACTTGCACCAATGACACAGTGGGGCTTGAACCCGGGTCCGCTGGGTGCCATCCCAATATTCCACCACTGAGTTACGCAGGGGCTTGTAACCTGGTGTCAAACTTGCCTTAGTCAGGCTTGATGTCGGGAAAGCAATCGCGTTAGTTCAACTTATAAAGCGTTTTAAAACAGCGAAAGAACAACCAGTCGTCGCACAATGCGATTAGCATAACGAGTGGGCCGTCCAATTCTCCAACCCATTACAAAAGATTGTTCGTGTTTTTCTATTAAATGTGGCGTATACCCACTACAGCCATAATACCTCATCGTCGTCAGCCATTTCATGAACGATTGCCACAAAATTCCTTGCAAGTGTTTAGCGAATACCACGCTTCTCAGAAGAATGACGAAAAATAGCATAGCGAATGCCGGCCTACTACGATGAGCCTCAACAACGGTTTCCGTGTGACCCTATAAGATGCCTCGCAACTGTTGAAAAAGTTGAACGCACTGTATTTAACTGTAAAGCTATCCAGATGTATGACGTCTGAAAAAAAAATTGGGGGGGGGGGGGGGGGTTAAAGCACGTCGTTGATTAAATCACTTCAAGCGAGAAAACGTAAATCATACACATGCGTATACAGTTTTGTCCACTTTAGACAGTTTGTAGAGCACCTGCTAGGTGCCTGTCACGTGATTTCTATAGATATATCATATTATTTCAATTGCTGAGTTAGAGAGGTGCTTTTCAACAAATATAGGATACGCTTACCCTGATTGACACCGGCAGCCTTTCTTCACCGCAGTAACACTAATATTGCGGCGAAGCTTCAATGCCCTATCGTGGATTAAATTTTGTGCATTTTCGACACTTCATACTACCTTTGTTTTTACTACCGATATATTTTCACCAACGTGATATATGCGGAAATGTTCATATCATGCTATGAGCGTATCACATGAAAATTGTGACACACATTTGATGTAAATCATGATCAGGCCGCCTGCGTCTTCGTGCTCTCGTGTGCTGTTTCGTTAACGTGACAAAGACCAAAATTCGCATAGCCTAACAAGAATGCATGAAAAACGTGAATGGAAAGTCACGTCACCACGAGAGCGGCATGACAAGCGTGTCACATGCACCGTAATCCAGCCGTGTACGTCTTTGTGATCTCGTGGCCGTTTCGTTAATTTGAATGCCCCAGAACTTCCATGTTGTGCTCTGGGTGTTTGAGAAACATGGATGGCAAGTGATGTCAAGAGTATCATGACTCGATCGTCATGCACGTCATGACGTATATGGCAAGCATACCGTCGTGATCTCGTGGCAATTGTTTCATTCTCTTGCTGTACACCAAATGTGGTCACGTAATGCGTGCATGTGACAAAAATTATTGATCAGTGACAGGTAATGAAGTGAATGTCACGCAGTATATCGTGACATTAATGGCACATATAGTATGATGCAAATGTCTTGAGAGCGTTGTGACCACTTGCTTGACATAACGTGTGCTAGAATGTTCATGTACGCATGACAAACATGTAGTTATAACTGACATGTCAAGACATTGATCATGGAGGTCTTGGGTTTTAACACACCTACGCTTGTATGAAGAGAGCCTAAAACAATACGAATGCGTGATACCAGCGTAGCATAAGAAACTTAAAAGGGAGGGCCTGTTCTATGAAGGCGTTGTTGAATGTCGTGGCTGTGGAATAAATTCTATCTCTATTGGGCTTGAGAGACCACCGCTAGGGGGCCACGGAGAGCGGACGTGTTGCGCGTCGGCTCCGCAACTTTCCTATGTTTTTGGTGGATTGTCGAATTTATCGTGGAAAACGCTTCTCACCATCGATCGACGGCAGTTTCAAGGACTTCCCTGACACCAAGTTTTGCCAGGTGGGACCACTTTTTAGCCACTTATTGGCGCTTTTATTCCACCACGAAAGCAAGAACGCCAAGTCCAGCGTCTCTGCGCACGACGCCATAGGCCGGCCGCTGCGGCGGTGGGGCCTGCAAGCCTAACGTGTCGCCGGACCTCCTCGGAGCTCCCGATCCCCGACGGCAGCGTACAAGGCCTTTGCCAGGGCTAAATGTATGTCGTAGAGGTAGAAGGAGAGGACATTCGGCCGGAAGATTTCGGCGAGGGAGCAGGATGGTGCAGCGTAAAGAGAACGAAACAGGCCGACGGCGCGTCCGAGACAGCGCAAGACCAGAAGACGGAGACGCAGCAACAGGCGGCTGCCGCGGCGACTACAGAGATTGCCCCGGATACTGCCACAGCGGCGCAGAATAAAAAGAAGTGTGCTCGTTACTTGCAGCACCTCGCTAAGGCGAGCCGAATGCCAGAGTTACCGCCCGATGACTACAGGATCATTGTGCGCCCCCGCGGCGGATTCAACGGGGCTGAATACAAGATAGATCGCATTTACTGCTGCCTTCGTAACGCGGCAGGTATCGGTAGAGAAGCGGCTAGAGAGGACAGCATCTGCCTCAACGTTAAACAGAACGTCGTGGTGCTCAGCACTCCGTCCGCGGACAGAGCCAAACGCTACGGAGCCATCAGCAAGCTTTGCATCGGGAACCGAGAGTTCGAGGCGAACGCCTATCAGGCCGCCCCGGAGAACACTTCCAAGGGCCTGATTAGGAACATTTCCAAAGACGAGAGCCCGGAGGACATCGTTAACAACCTAGTGACGCAGCGCAACCCCAGCGTGCTGCATGCCAAGCGAATGGGCACCACGGACAACATCATCGTATTGTTCGACGGTTTCCGTGTTCCCAGACACGTATACTATGGACCTATGCTTGTGAGATGCTCCCTCTACAGAAAGCACATCGACGTGTGCTACGCGTGCGGGAGGCTGGGCCATCGCTCCGACGTGTGTCCCAACCCTGCCGACAAGATTTGCCGTGGCTGTGGAAGCAGTAACCCACCGTCTGACCATCACTGCGAGCCGCGGTGTCAACTGTGTGGCAAGGATCATCTCACGGGTGACCGCG